AGACATTAAAATTAAGGAAGATTGCTAACAAGATCTTTCCAGTTCTAAAAGACATGTCCCAAGGAAATGGATTGAAATTGGAGTCTGTGGTTTCTGTGGGGTTGGAGAGGAAAATATTTTGGTGCCCTCTAGAGGTGATCAGGGATGTACACCTGTCAAACCCTGGGAACCAGATAAATCGAAGGCCATTTAGCAGGAGCTATCTATCACTCTTGCCTCTTTCCATGCTTAGATTATTCAAACACCACAAAGCATAGCTCTAGAGGAAAGATTCTTGAATGTTAGCAAGCGCCAAATTCAGTTTTAGGACTTGTTATCGTACAGACTTCTGATCTACAGTCTTCAAATGTCTGACTCTGAGTCTTTGTACTGACCTTTTCAATTCACAAACACACCTACTCCTGGAGAGCCTAACATTGCTCATTAAAGGACCATGTTTTGAGAACCACTGATATCTAGAACCATTCCAAAGCTCTTGGTGTAAACAGGTTAGGTTTCAAGAACATTGTAACGCCTTGAACCAGACCTCTCTATCACATTCTCAGAGGACCATAGAGTTGACAGAGAGTGGGACACATCTGATTTATGATGGTTTTCTTTCTGAAAGAGTTAGACATTCCTTAAACTTCACAGTTTCAGAGGATATACACATTTGGGATAAAAAGAAAAGCAATTGAGTTTGGAGACAGAGAATTTAAGTCCTGGCCACTGCTCAACATTCAATGCACTCTGCCCTCATAGAAGAACAACATCATCACAGGGGAAGGGAGGAAGGCAGCAGTACACTCTGCCCTCATAGAAGAACAACATCATCACAGGGGAAGGGAGGAAGGCAGCAGTACACTCTGCCCTCATAGAAGAACAACATCATCACAGGGGAAGGGAGGAAGGCAGCAGTGCTCATAGACATACTCTATCATGCAGCTTGGCAGTGAGCAAGCATGAGACAAACTTTAGTCCAATCATAATCTATGTAATATTCGGGTTTTATATTCACATTTCCAATAAAAATACCATAAGAAAATTGGAAAATTAAGCACATTTTACAACAATGGAAAATAACAGCACGAAAACAGTTAAAAACCAAAGAATTTTTCTATGCAGTTTTACAAAGTTAATCAGCGCAATTAGTTAGTACTGATCACTTTGGTAAAAGGCAGCTAAAATCTAACCAATACTTACGTCCCTTATAAAACAACTTTCTTTCCTTACTTCCCTTTCCCATAAGCCACAATGTCACAAAGCTTTGATCTTACACTGCAGTTTTTAACTATATGGTTTTTTTTTTTTTTTGTTTAAAGTATCTAAATTATTGCTACCATCTTTCACCAATGGGATTTCCTCTTAAAATAATAGGAGACTTGCTTGCTAACTGGGTGGATTCCACTTCCTTAATCCAGGTCAGGATTTATGGAGACCTCGTGTGGTGACAAGAGGCACCACAGAGGGCTTTCTTGAGGCTGGCTGCAACAATCAAAGAGCAACTCAGAGCTCATTTTTTTATTGATTTTTATTGAGCTCTACATTTTCTCAGCTCCCCTCCCTGTCTCTCCTTTCCCCTTCAACCATCTACCAAGGTCCCCATGCTTTTAATTTACTCAGGAGATCTTGTCTTTTTCTACTTCCCATGTAGATTAGATCTATGTATGTCTCTTTTAGAGTCCTCATTGTTGTCTAGGTTCTCTGGAACTGTGATTTGGGGGATGGTTTTCTTGGGGGCAACAAAACCTAGGAAGAATGAAGCCTTGAAAATGAATGTTAGGGATGCATGTAAGGCTATTAGTGAGCATCCTGAAGTGGTATTGTTAAAAGAAGGTAGTAATGTTTTTAAAAATGAGAAACTTTGTCATTCGTGTTGGTTTTTTAGCTGAAAGCAGCTGATACACCAAACAATTCACTAGCCCCAAACATCGAGAATTGCTTATAACCCATTTTCTTGATAAAAACTCACTGACATTATCTTCTTATATAAATTTCATTTAATTGAAATGATTCCATAGGGACATTCCAGTGTGAATACTATTCAACCTACTCTAGGTTTTATGTAGAATGAAAAGCAATCCGGGGGTGGGGGCGAATCAAATGTGAATTCATATTATTACAATCTAATTCCAGTGATAATATTTTGAATGTGGATAACATTCTTAAAATTAAAATACACATAGAAAAAGTGAATCACGTATGGTGGCTAAATTCACACAAAATTTATCTTACTATCAATGAAGTGTCAAAGTTGTGACAGCACATGATTTAGTGTATCTGAAAACATGCCTCAACCACATTAATTTATTATTATAAAAAAGTTCACTGGTGATGGGATTCTTTCAGTGACAATTAGTTTTGCAACTGACATGTGGTCTATGTCTCGTCATAAGGAAATATGACTATGGCATCATTTTTCTCCTCAAGTAAGTTATGTAACAGACCTTTAAGCTAAAATCTAGAAGGACAAATGAATGCCTGGATGGCAAATGTTCTGAAGCCTTTAAAAGAATGGTGCCCTACAAACCAACGACAGCCAGATGAATAATCCCAAGAATTTCTGTCTGGTTCATGAGGGGCCACCCTGCCTTTGGAAGGAGCCTCCGAAGGGTTTTTGGATCTGAGTTACAGGCAAAATGACCCGGAAAAGATATCCTGAACAATTTAAAAAGGCAAAAGTAAAGATGTTGGAAGATTTCAGTTTTCATATTCCTGAGTGAAACACTTCTCAGGGAACCTTCTAAGTGACAGGTATATGTTAAATACCAAAACTGCTAAAGTGAACTGGACAGACTTGTGTGTGTGTGTGGGGGGGGGGGGGGGGGTCAAGGGGTAGCACATAATACACAAACTATGCTACAAAACTGACTTTATGGGAGGGGCTTGCACAATTTTCTGCTCAAAGACTTCCAAAGTGGACCCTGACTAGAAAGAAAATGAGGAATTTAAGATGAAGTAAAGAAGCTGACTCATTTAGATGCTATTCCAAACCTATAGAGGCTTTCGTTTCTGCTGAGAGAGCGCGAGATGGTGACTCTTGCCAGACATCACACTGAGGAGGCAAGAAGAAACCAGGAAATCCACTTTCCAAAAGGTGCCAAAGGTGGGGGTGGGGGAGGTGTCCAGAGAGGCACTGAAACAAGGGAAAGCTTCCAACATAATGGGTGTTTCTACGATTATTTCCCCTTTCTGTTGCCACAGGGACTCATTCAAACCCTTGGAGTTGTGTGAGTTTGTAGCATCGCATAAACAAGCTACCCCCTGGCCTGGTGTTTTCCAGTGACTATAAAGAAAGGGTTAATTTAAGAGGGTGGCTTAGGAAGGCTTGCAAGAAGGTTGGAAAACATTATTTCAAACTTGCTAAAACTCTGAACTTTTAAGTTTCCCAAAATTCACGTGTGTGTGTGTGTGTGTGTGTGTGAGAGAGAGAGAGAGAGAGAGAGAGAGAGAGAGAGAGAGAGAGATCCGCAAAGGCAGATTTATTTCAGTAGAATTTTTTGTTTTAATTTAAAATCATAATCTCGCTGTTTCTCTCTTGCAGCAGCGTTGCAAACCCAGAGCGGTTCCCTTTAGGATCGCTCCTCAAAAGGCTGCGGCAGAGGCGCTGCCGGCTCCATTTATTTATGAGCAGCGTTCAAAGCCGCCCCTCTCCCCAGTCTCTTTCTGGGAACCTCGGTCTCGGATCTCGGGTCACCTCAAGGGTCAAGGAGTTGCGGGGCGGGGACCCGGGAGCCTCCTTCTAGTGGCAAACTTTGCCGGGGCGTAGGAGTCGGGGCTCACTGGAGCAGGGGCGCACGGGAACGCGCGCCGCCACCTCCCCCCACCGGGCGATAGCAGCCAGGGCCTCACCTCTCTCAGGCGAGCGAGGTGCGGGCTTGCAGCGCGCGTCCTGGGGGCGGGGCGGGGCTCGCGGGGGCGGAGCCAAGGGGTGGGTGCTTCCCGCTGCTATATAAAGCCCGGCCACCGCGTTAACTTCGGACTTGGGTTTATTTATTTGCGGAGCGCCTGGACGGCGGGGGTTGGAGGAGGCGGCGGCTGTGGCTGCTGCAGACGGTGGTTAAAAAAAGGAGGAGGAGGCGGCGGCGGCGAGGGATGGAAGCGCCCAGGCTTCGGGGCGCAGGCCAGAGCTGCCGAGCTTTCCTGGGGCTGCGGGAGTACTGAGGAGAAAGGGGAACGTCCCGGGGGCCCACAGGCGACTCCAGAAGCGCGGGCTGGGGTCTTTTTGTTCGGCTGCGCTCAGCGCCCAGCAGCCAGAGCGGACAACTCCAGTTACAACAACAACCCACCTTCCAGCAGCCCGGCGAGACTTAGGCAGCCGCGTCCGTCCTATTGTTTAGACACTTGCCTGGGGCTCCGGAGCGCCAGTCCCCTGCTCTCTGTCTCCGCCTTCTCCCTCCCCCCAACCACCCCACCTTCCTCCCGGGAACCGCAGGCGCCGAAAGCCTCCCCGAGAGGGGAAGGGGCTAGAAGCTAGCGCTGCCTGGACTGCCGTCTCCGAGTCAGGTGCAGCGTCCGTGGCTAAACGGCGTCTCAACGTTCGCGACTGGACTCCTACCGTGACAGTGGGAGACCGGATCCAACGCCTGGGGAAACTTCCTGCACTTTGAGGTTGAGGACCCACTTGCAGGAGCTGCCAGAGGGGTGGCTGAGAAGCCGTGCACCTCGGGACATCGCTGTTGTTTCTTCTACCTGCGCCGTCAGGTGTGTGCGGCAGAGCTGCGGCGTATCCCGGAGACCAGAGCGGCTGACAAGAGCGCGGACACCCGACTGCCAGTCGGCTGTCGACTGTGATCTACCTGGGTAGCAGATCCCATTCTCCCGCCTATCACTTAGTATACCCATCAGGGCATACTAACATCACTGGAATCGCGGACACCTAGCCTTTCCTTTGCTCCTCCTGGCTTGCCTGGCTCCAAGTCTTGCCCTAGCCAGTTCCCACTCAATCTTCCTAGGAGCTCGTGCTTTCCTAACTAAACTTGGCTTCCTGGATTTTTTTCCGCAGAGGTGCGGACTAGTGGATTTTTCTTCAGGGCTGCAGCGGTCCGAGTGCCCTTTTGTCTCTGTGTGACCTCAGGGGCAGGCCCTGGTGCAGAGCGTCGCCAAGGACGCCGGGAGAGAGGCGGGATTGCCCAGATCTCCTCCAGTGAAGTGCATGTGTGTGTGCAAGACATCCTTGGCTGTCGGGAGGCGGCGAAGACGGGTTGGGGCTGCTGCTGTGCCGCAGGAGTGGAGAGGCCCAGTGAGCTGAGCCCCTCAGCGCCGCCCGGCGCCCCCAGGACTGCGTGAACAACCGGTGCGCCCCCGCGTGCGCCATGCCCAGTCTTTTCGAGGGCTCTGCTCTGGACCTGCCAGGCTCTTGCACCTTTTAGCTTGGGGGAGCCCACTTTGATCAGGGCCACCATTACTATCGAAGTCCCCTCCTCAGCCTTGCACTTTGCCAACTGGAATCGGATTTTCTAGAGGGTCCTTGGGGTCAGAAGTCCTCGCTCATCCTCAGGCAAGGGGCCCCTGCATCTTTGAGGTCGTTTCGAGTAGGAACTCTTTTACCGCCAAGTTGAAAACGCGCTCTGTCCTCACAGCTGCATCAGGGTCCCCTCGTAGCCTAACCCGGGCCTATTGATATTCAGGACCTGAAGTTGCCCACCGATCTGCTTTGCTCAAAAAGCGTGGAGAGTCGGGGAAAGGCGTGTGCTTCTGCCAGTTCTACTGCTTTATATTACTGTTCCATATTACTATCTGTGCCCAGCGCCAGGCATCGAGCCTCGGACACTGCCCAGTTCTCACTCAATAGAGAGCTAAAGAGAAGTCCCTCAAAGCAAGGATCCTGTTGGGGAAGATGAGCAGCATTGGCTGGCAAACACTGTCCCTGTCGCTGGGGTTAGTGTTGTCGATTTTGAACAAGGTGGCGCCGCAGGCGTGCCCGGCCCAGTGCTCCTGTTCAGGCAGCACGGTGGACTGTCATGGGTTGGCACTACGCAGCGTGCCCAGGAATATCCCCCGCAACACCGAGAGACTGTGAGTATGGGCGCTTCGCCCTCCCCATTCTCTCTTCCTTCCCATCGAGGTAGAATATCCCCAAGCATTCAGCCTGGAAAGTCCGCGTGTGGTAGAAACCGGTTCCTGGGGCAGCTCTCAGAGGCTCTCCAGCACGCACATCCCCGGGGGGTGGGCCCTCTGAAAAGGTAAAAGACTGGCGGGCACTAAACTGGGAGGAGCCTTTGCCAAGGAGGGGCGGATCACTGGCAGCTGCGTGTCCTTTTCCTGCCCCCCCCCCCCCCCCCCCCATCGCCACTTGAAACTGCTTCTAGACTGTGGACCAGTTCTTTCTGGCTTGGGGAGAAAGGCGCCTGGGACTACAATTCAAGGATGCCCGGGGCAAGGGAGGTGTGACTGGGTTTCCCAGACTCTGCAAAACGAGTCACCTTGCGGTGTTGCAAACATGGGTTATTTCAGGACCTTGTTGCTTCAGACTGTGGCAAAGGGAGGTGGCAGGCTGTTCAAAGAAGAGAAGCTTTCTCTCCCAGGCTTTGTGTACTCTTCTAAATGCCGAGGAGGGGGTGTGGAATCTTGGGGGTACCCTGGGGATCTTTTCATAATCTATGAAGGATGAGTGCAAGAATAGGCTCAGTAACAACACTCATCGTCTCCCGGACTTGACTTTCTAAAAGCCCCTTTCATTTACAGGGAGGAAGCGGCAACAGTAGCTAAGCGAACACACTTAGTAGGAGACTTGCCAGATGATTGTGTCCCAAGGCTTAAGTAAAGTTAGCCATAGTTCTCCGTCTGGAACTTACTGGGCCGGGTCCAATCGCTTTGGTGACCCTGTGGCCCTGGGCTGCTCCCTCCAGCCCTTCCCGCTGCGGCAGTGTGCCCTTGGGCACCTTGCTGGCAGTCTGTGAGCTCCTTCACGTGGTGGCAGCTGCTCTGTCTGCCCCTCTTCGCGCTCTGCCGCCCGCAGACATCCCCGCCTCCCTGTCTGCGCGAGTCTTTAATGAAGAAATAAACGCAGATCCCGGGTTGACGGCCCACGCGCTCCTGGTGGGGCACTTCCCGAGTTAGGGAAGCAAAGCGCAGAGGCTCTTTGTGAAGCGGAGCCGGCCACAGAGTCCGGGAAGCGCCGGACTCTCCCAGTTGCACTTGGGTCAGGCAGGCGCTCATGACTTGGGCTGGTATAAACTGGACTGGTGTGGCGTGGGTGATTGTGGAGAGATTCCGGTTCTTTGCTGCATTGAGCTGTCTGGAAAGGAAGACTCTAGGGCGGCACTTCTGCACTCAGTGTCATCAGGGCCAACAACAGTTGCCTTCCTCTTGATTCAATCCACACCCCCACTCTCAGTTTCAGGGCCCAAGTCCAGGATTTTCTTTTTTCCGAAAAGGTTTGCCTTGTTCCAGCTCCACCGGGGCTCTCCCTGATTATTTTTCTAAGCCCCCAGTGCCCAGCTAGTTGGGCCTTACCGCGGGTGTCTCATCAGGATGTGATGCTGGGGTCCGGAAAGCAGGAGATAAATAGCCCATGAAGTACTCCCACAACTTTAGAGACAATTCTGAGCAGTTGGTTGGGGGAGAAAGGGTGGAAAACGATGAGAAATTCTAATTTAGCTCTCGTCATTCCACGCCCTTCAGAACACTGTAAACACTAACTTGTCAAAGCCCTGGGATTCCAGAAAAGGCATTGGAGTACCAAGTGGTTGAAAAAAAAAATCCTTATGAGAGATTTGTGGAGTTTTCAGGAAACCACACACTCGGTGCTTGTTTATAAAATTCTACCGTTAGCAAAGTAAACACTTTAAATACAGATTTCAGCAGGAAGTTTGGAAGTCGAAAGTAATAGAACTTCCAGGAAGGAACCCAGGGAAACCTCCCAAAGGCTAGTTACATTGTGAATGAATGAAGCCATGCAAATTTAGTTGTTGACCAGAAAAGAAGGTTGTGACTGAAGAAAAAGTGGCGCAGAAATGGAACAAACGTGTCAAGGCCAAATCCTACTTCCAATTATTGTTCCCACTAGTGGTTTAAACCGCAGTCACTGCGTCGGGGGTGGGGTGGGGCAGGAGCTGCAATAAAGAGTTCTGCTAACCCAGGGAACCTAGAAGGGGAGGGGGGGTGAAGGTTTTTGAGGTGCCCTGCTCTCCCTGACACACACTTTTCTTTGCCTCTGGAATTTTGGCCACAATGCTCCCTCAAAGTGTTCTAATTTAAAAAATTTCTTCTCGAATAGTTTGAGGGAATTTTTTTTTTTCATTAAAGTTCATGAAAAAAATTCTTGGGGGCTGTGCGAAAAATAAAAGCGACATTGCAGAATACCTCAGTAAATAAATAGCCACATTCTTTAGGAAACCCAAATCGAAAGCACTCTCACACACAGGCCACAAACACACAACAAAAGCCAGGGTTAGTGGTGACATCACCACTTAGTTTTCTTGTCATATGTCAGCAAGAATTTTGTAAACATGAGACATTTATAAACTACTATTTCAAAGGCTTGTTCCTTCGCTCCCCAGCTTACTTTTAAGCCACACTAATTGAATTAAAGTTTTTTGGTTTTTTTTTTCCCCCTAAAGCTCCAACATGCTTTGAGTTTTACTTTGACCAAATATGATAGAAATAAAAAAGGAACGTTAATTTATTTACTTATTTATTTTGGTTGTCTCTTAGGGATCTGAATGGTAATAACATCACAAGGATTACGAAGACAGACTTTGCTGGTCTCAGGCACCTCAGAGTTCTGTAAGTGTTTCCTTCCTCGGAGTCTTCAGTTTTGTTTTTAAGATAGGATACTGAATATAATCACTATATGTTCATAGATTTTAAAACTTTTCTGAAGACAGGAGCAGTTAAAAAAATCTTAAGGTCTTCTTGTATTTCTTTTTGTTTTCCATTGTATAACTTTTAGTGCAATTGTGCCTCTAAGAGGCTGTATGATGGGGATAGTAGGGTAGAAAGGACCTCAGATCTGTACTCTAAGGGCATTACATAGAAATGAAGAATCATTCTTTTCACAATAGAAGTAAATAACAGAAGAAGTCCTATACTTGGAGGACTTACAGTTTACTTGGGAAGGCTCAGCAGATTGCTCTTCTTTCATCTTACTGAAGTAAGAGTGTCCAGAATTTTTTCCTTCAGAAAAAAAGTAGAGAAAAGCGTTTACACTAAAATCATGCAATCATCTTTTCATCGGATTTTGGGGGACATTTATATATCAAATATACTGGTCTCGCTTTGGGTTACATTCCCTATTTTGTAGTTTTGAAACTGACATAAAATATTGCAATATGTTTAATACACTAGTTAGGGGTTTAAATTAGCTGATTAAATTAGCCATTAGCTGAGAGTCAATATTTGTAAATTTATGTTGCCCCACAGGTTTGTAAATATTTACATCCAGTGGCCGTGTATTTTTGACTACCATGGGTCCAGAGTTAAGTTTTAAGGAATTACTTTGGTCCTTATGGCATTTTCCAATCCATGATGTGCATGCCCAGGTCCGAATTAAACTCAGAATGTGCTGAGCTACTGAATTCCTTAGTTAGGAACACCAGGGAAATCAGTGTAAGAAACGAGCTTTTAAAGGATAGTTTCTATTGTCAACTTGCTTTGCAGTTTAAGGTTTAGATTTTACTTTTCATTAGTAACTTCTCTGCGAAACTTCTTTAGTAATTAAATAAAAAAACGTCTGGTATGGAAGCTACTTCTCCCTCTGAGTTCTCTCACCTGCTTTATTATGAAAAATAAAGGAATAAAAATTCCAGCTGGTGACTGGGAATTCAGAGCAAAATGCAATGGACACATGAGAGAGGGATTGCAGGTTTTTTGGCTGCTAAGTTGAAGCTCCTCAGATGGCGACTTTTAGAAGCCAGTTCTGTTTTGCATTTCAGTCAGCTCATGGAGAACAAGATCAGCACCATTGAGAGGGGAGCTTTCCAGGATCTGAAGGAGCTGGAGAGACTGTAAGTATTCTCAGTCCCAAACCCATGACAACATGTCTGCATGTTTAAAACCACTTGGATTTCAAGGGTTGTGTCTTCAGTTTCATAGCCTAGCTTTTAAAGTTTAAGAAGAAAGGGTACAACTAAGTGTTTTCCGGCATAAAAACCAAGTCCCTAGGTAAAGAACATGAACTTGTATTAAGGCTTAAACGTTCAGGGCTTTCCTGAGACACTTATTTCCTCCATAGTCATTGTTTTGGCACTAAAATAGGTACATGTGTTCCTATCTGTTATCTGTGGCTTATGCAGAAAAGGACCATTGGAAATTTTATTTGCATTAATGATACTTTATGGAAAGGGATGCTTGCCTAAGAATCTTATAAACATCCATGTTGTTGCTGTTTGTAACATTGTTGATACTTTAGGACATTTTAAAAAATAATGGTTGTTACCAATGATTTATATTTTTTGGTATTTACTACTTAACTGTGAACACTGATAACAACCACTACTCCCAATTCTAGTTAATTGTTTTATAATAGCTTCTAAAATATAACAGCTGGGAAAAATAAGTCACAAATTATTAAGGTTGCTATGGGGCGCCAGTCACCACTGACATTTTTTTCCATGAATTTTAAATGTAGATTTTACACTTTCAAAACTGTTGTTTTAGACATAACCATCTCATAAGTATATGTTTTTCAAGACTATTATTGTCAATAATATATATTATTCAATTATACAAATGTATAATAGACAAAATTTATATCTGAAATAAGAAAAATTATAGACTTTGAACTATGAAATATGATTTAAAGATTTCATGTCATGATTATTCTAGTTCAGTGGGTTTTCATTTTTAAGACAGGTAAAATCTGTATTAAAAGCACTAGGAATTATTTTAATAAGTTTCCATGCCTGTCCTAGTAGTTATTTTAGGAAAAATAAATTTGGTGCTTGTATCTAAAATTTTAAACATACATAGAGTGCGTTCAGATTCACTGAGTTCAAAACCAAGGTTAAGTCTGTCCTTGTTTAGAAGTGGAAAATTGCCTTGTAATTTTGTAATACATTTGAGAATATGTAGGACTATGTTTTTATTACCTCAAGCAAAGCATGGTCATGTCTACTTTATTTTAGCTTAAAAGTCTGTCCATTTCAGTGTAGCTGTGGATTAATATGTATTAGCCACACTGAGGTACTTTCTGAGGACGTGAGAACAGATAAATATTGTTTGGATGTATACCCATGTTAAATGTGTAAAATACTCTGAAAGTATTTATTCTTTATCGGCTTCATAGATGTTTGTCCATAGCTAATATCCCTACCTAGTGAAAAACTCTCAAAGATATTTTAGACCACATTTTTTAAATGCATTGATAAAATGTAATGAATAGGTAATTAAATGTTCGTTGAAACGCTAGACTTTGGTCAAGAGTGTCTTCTAGTGATCCTGATAGCGTGGTTCTGAAGCTCTCTTTCAATCACAGGATCATCTATGACGTTTTCTGCTGCTCACATTCACTTGTATTGTAATTTTAAATCTTTAGGAACATAACAATGCACACTTTTTCATATTTTTAAAGCCACTTCAGAATGTCATTTGAACTTTCATCTTAAATAAATTAGCTCTTCCTAAAAACAATCCTATAAATGCCATAAAATCTGAAATTTGATTAGAGCTGTAAGAGGACACTAGTTTTTGACTTTTACTTCCCCTGAGAATGTCACTTCATCTCAGAACAATTTTCTATTCTAGAAAGACTAAGTCAGATGTTGCAGAGTGGGAGGAGGGTTTGTAATTTTGAATGAAAACTAATATATATGCAAGACTTCTTTAAATCACCCCAGCTGTTGGCTGAGAGCAAATATTTCATATTTGTGAGGAAAAGCTGAGAAAATTCCATTTGTTTACAACTGCCAAGTCCATCAGATGGAAGCGCATTGTTATCTGACAGCCAATTCATCTCCTTGGGACTCTGGAATTCTAAGCCATTTCTTAGGAACATTGTGGATACAGTTTTCAAATATTTATTTTTAAATATATTAAATGTCAAGACAGTTTTACTAAGACATGCATTCAACATTGTTGTGAAAAAGACTACTTTAAATTTTGTTCAGTTTATTGTTTTAAGAAACAAAAATACAAAACCCAGCCTTAACTTGTGAGTTCCACATTCAAATTATTATGGTTATAGCATCTACTCCTATTTTATTAATGTCTCTCAAATTGCTTGTTTTCTACAAAATTTCAGTGGTCAATGTAAGAAACAGAAAATAATTAATGGATTAATGATAAACTATGGATTTTTAAATCTACATGATTGTTCATAAGTTAGATACAAATTTTCAAATTGAACTCCAAATTGCTAATGCATTAGAATTAGTTTATGTTGTAACAGTCATTCACCTAGTAAAGCATGACTTCAGTTTTTTTTTCTTTGTGGTAAACCAAAACAGAATTGAAAAATAACAACTTTATTGACATACAGTTTATGGTTCTGAGTTGTTTTCATTTTGAAATGATAACAATAATAGCATTTCAACATGAAGAAATAAAACTTCAGAGATACTCATAATGTTGTTGAACTTATAACTTAATAAAGAGAAAGACAGATTTGAAAATAGTAAATAATATCTGCACCTTTTTATGAAATTGGTTTTCAATTTGTAAAATCAAGATCATTTTAACTTAAAGTTACCGTATGTGTAAATCAAAGCACTTTTAGAACAAAAGAAAGGTATTTTTCACCTAATGCCGGTCAACATGTTAAGATGTCCTTCTTTTCTCCTTCCTCCCTCTTTTTTTCTTCCTCCTGCCCTCCTTCCTTTACATTTTTCCTTTCTTTGCAAAACTTTTCTCTTTCCTTGTTCTCTCCTTCTTCCTTTTGCTATTGTGGAGAAAACAGCATCAGATGCTGGCGATTTCATCAGTGTGTGGGTATTGGCTACTGTGAATAAGATAGGTTTTAATGGAGCTTGTGCCCCATATGACACTTCCTGTTGGCGCAGTTCCTGCCATACACCCAGGCCTGCCGTGCGCATGGGCAGGGTGTCTGGAATGCTTTGTTTTATCAGTAGTATTATTTATCTGGAGTTGGGAGATCATGAAGAATACTCACCATGCACACTACAATACAACAGCTTCCCGTTGTTTGATAGCAAAGTTATAGAGGAATGTAATGAAATGATTTTACCAGCTGATTCAATCCAATCAATTAAGAATAATCAAAGTACATACTTGTAAGTTACAGCATAAAGTTAGGATTCTTGAAGTTTGCTTTTCTTATATGTCACAGAAGGCTGGGTAGCTCTGCAGTTCTCTCTTAAAAGTTATTAATTCAAGTATATAATATCTTTGTCTTCCTTCCCTCCCTCCCTCCCTCCCTCCCTCTCTTCCTCCCTTTCTCCTTCCCTCTCTCCCTCCCTCTTTCCTACCCTTCCTATGTCTCTTTCTCCCCCTCCCTCTTTCACTAGCCCCCCTTTCTTTCCTTTTCCAACACAGAAATTCCAGAGGCTGCTGAAACCTATGCTGCTCACTGGCTCTCTATCCACAGATATGGTCATGCTATATTCATTTTGTTCTGCTCGTTTGCTTTTTATGGCTGTCAGTTGGGTCTTCAGCATTCTACTGGTAAAATCAATTCCTCTCATTTTGAAAATTCCCTCACAACGTGAGTGGCATATTTGATATACCAACATTGCCAAAAGGAAATACATGTTTGTCTAACTTACGTTTTTGGAGCAGCAGCATCCAGGAATACAACATCATGGCTCTGTATGGACAACACAAATACCACATACTCATTATAGTAATTACAGGAATAGGAAAGCACCGTGGATGGATAGATAGTTTCCGAGTGCTGGCTATATGATGCTGTTTTAGACTTTGCTGATGGGGGCAGGACAGAGAGACAGAATAATAGAGGAGAATGGGGTTGATTGAATTATCTAGCCAGTAAAGATTTAGGTACCCTTTAATATCCTCTGCTGGATCAAGAGTGAAAAATAGTCAGTTGTGTTCAGTTCAACTCCATTCTAAATTCGGAAACTTTGGACAAGAGAGACTCCCACAGAGCCTGAATTTCATTTCTCCTGTGCAATTTTGATTACACGACTTACTCTTTAAAAACTTATTCCTCTTCAAATTAGTTAATAGGACCCCTCTCTTTCATCAATACTGCAACTGTCTGTCTTTCAGACAAAACTTCATTCAACTAGTCTGCCTTTATTCTCTTCATATTTAAAGGTCACTTTTAGTCCTAATGGCTTTGCCACTAAATAGTTTGCTTGAAAAAATATAATTCTACAGTATTGCGAAGTAGCCATGTGAGGGTTCCCGGGAAATAAGTATGATAACTTAGATATTTGAAAATTTTACCAAATTCATCATCGTAGAACTCATCACTTTTTAACATTGACATTTAGATCTCTTTAGGATAAAGGCCCTCTTTGAGCAAACACTGTATTTCATGAACCAATACTTAAAAGATATGTTCTCCTGTAAGATGATACTGAATTCTTCCTTTTGACATGAACATACCATTCATAAAGAAGTCTCAATATGACCCTGGGAGCTATGGCACACACAGAGGTTGGGTTGTAGTTGTAACACATGAGTTCAGGTGGAGAAAATGTTGTATAACAGGTCTGAAAGATAGCACTGTTTACCCTCTGTTTGTCCAGGCTGTAGAGGATACCTTCTTCCCACTATTCCTGAAAGCATATATGCAACCGAACACATTCATGCTTCTTATTGTAAAAAGCATCTCACAATCCTAATCTCTGTGGCAAAGAATCCAAGTTCATCTCAGGGGACTCTTTTCTGTCATCTTACACATTGGTTTAGAATCCCTGTTGTTAACTTGGTAGACACTTTTTTTTTAAATATATCAGATACAGAGTATGCATACCACATAAAGTAAAACTTTGCTAAGCTATTGATAGCTGTTAAATGCCTCAATTCTGATGCATGTCCAAGCAGCATATGGACTTTTAAAAATTCTGTTACTGACTGTGGT